TGCTTTCAGGTCGTCTTATCTCCCCGACCTCCCGCTGTCGGGAAACTCTCCAGTGCCGCCGCTTCTGTTGGTTCTCGGTGGGACTGCTGGTGTGATACAGGCGCTCCACCACAGTGAGAAACAGCATTTAGGAAACATCCTTCTCACCGTCTCTGAAGCTGTCATTGGGCTCTGATCTAGGACGAGAATTCGCACATTTTCTGAACAATATTTATTGAGTTCTTACTTATAATTTCAGGCACTGTTTCAGTGCTGAAGCCATAGCAAAAAACAAAGAGCAAAGGTCCCTGTATGTGTGGTACTTGTATTGTAATGGGAAAGATGGAAAATTGGCAAAATAATTAAGTAAAATAGAGAGTGTGTTAAGTCATGAAAAGTGTTAGGGGAAATACATAAAGAAAGGGGAACAGAAATGTTTAGGGGAGTGAGTTATAATTTTACGTAGGACAGCCAGCTAAGTAAGGTCTCACTGGGAATGGGAACTATACCCTGAAGGAGGAGAGAGAGCAAGTCATGTGGATGGGGTGGGGGGTGGGGGGAGGGCACTCCAGGCAGATGGAGCGGCACATGCCAGACCACAGCGCGGGGCACACCCAGGGTGTTTAAGGAAGACCGAGGAGGCCAGTGTGGCTGCAGCAGATGAACGATGGGAGAGTAGTCGAAGGTGAGGTCCAAGAGGCAGGGGCGCCGCTTATGAAGGACCTTGGAGATCTTCAGAAGGGCCTCAGCGTTCACTGTGAATAAGATGGGAAGCCATAGGAGGGTTTTCAGCTTAAGAACAACATGACTGCCTTATGATTTAACAGGTTCGCTCCGGTTACAGTGTAGTGAATTAGTAGAAGAAGGGCACTGGAGGAAGCAAGAAGACTTGTTAGAAAGAAGTAATCTAGAGGGGAAAGGTCTCGGATTGGGGTGTGAAAGAGAAAGTGCTAAGGTGAAATCCAAAGGATCCGGTATGGGTTGAGAAAGAGGAGGGTAAGATACTCCTAGGAATTTGGCCTCAGCAATTGGAAGAACAGAAAAACCATTTACGATGAGGAGAAGAACAGGTTTGTAGAGGCAGGAAGGGGGATTGTAGAAATTTACCTTTTGACATGCTAATTGGCAATGCCTACTAGACATTCCAGTGGAGAGAGATGTTTGGACATAAAAATGTGAAATTCAAGGCAGAGGGGCTCGGCTGGAAGGTGAATGCAGGAGGCACTGTGAACAGCTAGCATTAGACTGAAAGTTAGGAGACCTGAGGCCAGCAGGAAGAGAGAAGTGGGTGGAGAAGAGGTGGGGCCCAGGACTGATCCCCAGGCTCCCCCGACAGTCAGAGGACCAAGAGACGAGAAAAAAGCAGCAAAGTAGGTGAGGAAGGAATATCCGGAGACACAGCGGGAAAAGGCGAAGAGTGTGACGTCCAGGAGGGAGTGACCCGCTATGTCACGTGTGTCACAGAGAGGTCCAATTAGGTGATGACGGGCAGCTGACCACCAGATTTAATGATGTGGAGGCAGTCGGTTACTCTGAGAAGGGTCTTTGGGGTTGGGTAGGAAAGAAAGCCTTTTATGTATAGATTCAAGAGAGACTGACAGAAGATAAATTACAGACAGAAAGTGTGGACGACTCTTTCCAGGAACTTTGCGATAAAGTTCCTTGACGAAGAAGGGCAGAAGCTGCGCGTTGGGAAGAGAAGTCAGTTTTTTTCAAACTGGATAAACAGTAGCCTATTTGCCATGATGGATGAACAGTCCAGTAAGGGGACAAAAATGGGAGATGCAAGAGAAAGGGGAGAATTGCTGGAGCCGTGTCCTTGAATGGGTGAGAGGGACTGGGGTCCTTGCACACGAGGGGGTCGCCTCTGTGAGGGGCCCACATAGTTCAACAATAGCCATGTGGAGCAAGCCAGACTGCTTCAGGCCACAGACATCCCAGAGGAGCTAAGGTGCTGACCTAGTCACCTCTTAACTTGCATTTCAATACTGAAGGGCGGGCTCCTCCAACGAAGATTCAGCAAGAGGGGGAAGCTGATACAAGGGAAGGGGGCTCCTTCGGGAATAGAGGAAGCGGGTTTCTTCCCCCAGCCCCCTGGCCTTTGGTTCAGGCTATTTCCCAGGAGCTGCAGGGTAGCCCAAGGGGAGGCCAAAGTCTACAGGTGTGACTCAGCCTGAAGTTCAGGCTGTCTCTCCCCCTCAGTGCAGGGACACACATGTCTCTGCCTTGTTTCAGGTTCTCATCATCCCCCAGGGCCCCAGGCCAGACTCTCACAACTACCTTACCTCTCCCCGCTGCTCACCTCCATTAAGTAGTCAATTATCAGTCTTACAAATTCTGTTTCAGAAATGTTGTCCCCAAATCCTCATTTCTCTCCCTTCCTTAGTGCTGCCTAAATCTCCACCTGCATCCTCTGTCTCTGGTCCTATCTCAAGACCTTTTCTGGTCTGCCTGCCTCCCACTCCCATCTCCTCCACTGTTATACAACCACTTGAGTCAGCTTCATAAAAAACAAAGCCGGGTTTGTCACGTGTCTGTTCTAAAGCCTTTCTAGCTTGCACATGGCTAGAAGCAGGGATTTTGAACCTGGGATTCTATACGCTCCCTCAAATCACAGGTATAATTTTGGATGTAACATTATGTGTACTTTTTTGGGGGAGAAGGCAGTAGTAGCTCATTCTCAGAGGTACACGTTCCCCACAGCCTAAGAATCACAGGCGTGGAGGTGAACGTGCAAACTCCCTGTTTTTGAAATACAAGGTTCTCCATTGTTTGGCCGCCCTGTACCTGCTGTCACTCTACCACATTTAACAGAACATTTGTTGAGCATCTACGGAACCAGGCACTGTGGTAAGCGCTGGGGAGACAGACAGACAAACAAGACCCTGCATTTGCCTTTTGTCAGGGCCGGGGTTGCAGGAAATATGGACACGGGAAACAAACAACAGATAAATGAAAAGAATAATATTTAAAAAACACAGTAAGTATCATTTGGAGGATTAAAGTAAGATTATGTGAATGCACATAGGTGGCTACTGTAGGTGGTATTGTAAACTGAACTAGCCAATTGGGTCAATGACATCTTTTAGATTCTTTTTGGTCATAATGGGAGTGGTTAAAGAAGTTTGAAGAGGATGAGTGTTAGTGACACCCACAATTTTACAACCACGTTATAGGAGAAGCAATTGGAGACTGAATTACACTATCATAAAGACTTTCAGGGACTGAACTTCTACCAGAAGGCAAGCACCAAACCAGTTCGTGTACTCATTCTGTAGGCTCAAGGAAACCCTAGCTCTCTGTCCTTCCAAGCACTCCCAAAACACCAAGATTCCAGAGGCAGAATTCTTATTACCCCGATAGCCCACCAGCAACCAGATTCTCCCAGAATTCACAGCTGGCTGATGATGGAAGCACTTGGGATTTGGCTGACAGCATCACCCAGTGGGTAGAACCTGCAGATTCCACTGGACTCGTATATTTTGTCATACGAGGGAGGAAGAATGCTTCCAAAACATTTCAGCTAGACCTTGGGTACAGCTATTTTCCTGGGAGAGGTGATTTCAGGAAGTACCAGTGAGGGACTAGGGAACTAAAGTAGAAGTTGGAGAGAAGGCAGCAAAGAGCATGCAAAGGAGAGAGGCTTGGCATTGAACAGTTGGTCCTTAACCCATCCGAGGACCCTTGAGACGCCACGCGGAGCAAACACCAGAAACTTCCCACCAAAGGACTGGGAGATAGGGGTCTCTCCTATTGGTTGAGAATTGGCCCATGGGGCAATAACTCTCCTGGATGGACCTGCTTTTAGCAGAGCAAGCTCCAGTGGTGGTGGAGAAAACAGGCAGAAAAGAGAAAAGATACAGGTGCTTGAGGTGGGAGCTTGTCAGGACACCGGCCACCCAGATGTGAGTGAAACCAGATGGGCACGGCCGGGGCACCCACGGCGCCCTCTCACAGCGATCTTCAAACTTCCTAGGAGAGCCCATTCCTGATTTGCCAGTAAAAATGCCTTGCTGACACTCACTCACGCTGCTTAGCCAAGCAGCGTAATTCATCTAGACACAAATACCAGATGCTCTGACTATGTGTCTCCTGATTATCACCTACCCTCGCCCTGCGCTGTGAGTTTCTGATGGAAACGCTAGCAACCCCAGGATTACAGCCTAACCTAAGTCACACACACCACATATCACACTTACACGCCAGGGTCTTTTAAGGTAAATTACAGACACTCTGACCAGGGGGTGGCCAGGGAAGGCCTCTCTGAGGACGTGACCACGAAGCTGAGATCTGAATGACAAGGAGGAGCCCGCCAGGTAAGACTGAGCGTTTTCGGCACAGGGGCCAGTTCCTGCCCCCTCCCCTTTTTTCCTCCAGGCACACCAGGGCTTTCTGTGCTTTTTGTTCCTGGCAAGCTCCTCTTCAGGCTGCAAAACCCAGCTCAAATATCTCACTTCTTCATAAACTCTTTTCAACACCTTGACTGAAGTCCTCGGAGCACTAGGTTCTACTTCTGCCTTAGGATTTAGTCTATTGTATTATACTTTGTCCTTTCATGTTCACCTTCTTAAGAAGGCTTGTTCATCTCCATAGCCTGGTCCTCAGCCCAGCACCTGGCCCCAGGCTGGTGCTCAGTGAACAACTATTCAATGAATGGTATCAGTGGGCTGGGCGGGAAAGGGCAGTTAGTTAGGATAACAGGCCAGCGTAGGCTCCTCTTCCTAAGCCACTTGCTACAGAGTCCTCCTACCCCCAGCCCAGAGCCTCACGCCCAGCAGTATGTGGAAGGGAAATGCTAATGATGTCTGAAAGGGAGGGACTTTCTTCTGTGTGAGCAGGAAGTGAAGTCTTTAGGGATATGCTCTGGGGGAGGTCTGGCCCTCTCCCATTCCATGGTTTAATGTGTAACTTGTCACCTTTCCTGAATGTTGGTTTTTTTTTATTTGCCCGTAACACTTTCACCTTGCTCGGTCTCCTTGCTTACAATGTGCAGCCTAGTCCCACTGCAGACCCACCACAGGCTCAGCCACCTCTGCTCCAGGACAACTGACAAAGGCCTCCGTACCTTTGTCTCCAGCCCTAGGGGCCTGACCCTGGCCAGATTTCTGAAATTCACCGGACAGGCCCCAAACCATCCCCACCCTGAGGCCAGCTCCCAGGAACACGGGGTATTCCTGGAGGGCAGGTCCTCGGGGCAGGGCCTGTCCTGTACCTGCTCCGGGGCCTTGCGCATTGGAGGTGTTCCAGAAGTATCTGTGGAATTAAACCCAGTTGCTGTCCCTTCTCCTGCTAAGGTCCCTTCATAGGAAGACTTTCTGTCTCTGAAAAGCTGCACCAGTCCGTAAGCCCTCCCTCTCTGCTACCTTCTCTCTCTCTCCCCTCCCTCCTTTCCTATCTTTCTTCCACAAATATTTGTTGAGCACCTCATATAAGTCAGGCACCGAGGGTCCCGTGGTAAGACATTCCTGTTCCCTCTCTTATGGAGATGACCTGACGTGGGAGCCCAGTCAGCGAATCCACAAGGTGAGCTCAGACTGTGAGGGAACCAAGCAGAGGCCCGGGACGGAGAAAGGTGAGGGGTCTGCTCGGAGAGGGTGGTGAGAGGCGGGGCCGTGGGAGGAGGCGACAGGACCCCTGGTGGACAGGGTCAATGTCTTGATGTAAATTTTGTTTCTTAAAAAAAACAACAACCCTGTAGCTAATGACATAAGGTTAACATCTGTTCCTTTTAGTGGCAAGTATTTGGGCATTTATTACCTTTTGTACTTTTTTTTTTACAGCAGGTACACTTTTCTGTATTAAAAGTATTCCTATATTTAAAGTGTTTTCTGCACTAAAATCATCTATTTGAAAACTTCTACTCCAACAATTCACCATTTGTGACGCCTGAATGATGAGTTGCCCATTGGAGCATCATCGCCAGGCCCCTGGTCCACCCTTGCCTTTTCTTTCTTGGCAGACTCTTACTCATCCTTCAAACCCAGCTCAAACATCCCCCTTCCCAGGGAAGCCTTCTTTTACCTCCTCATAGGGAATCGGTCGTTCCATGGCTTGTGGTCGCTCAGTACGTTGCTTACATATTTCTGATAAATCGTAGCCTAGTGTGTCACAGTGTGTTTGCTTGCATGTGTAGACGCTTCCACGGCACCCCCTGAACCTGTCCGCCTCTTCACCTTCGGCCGCGAGCACAGAGTATGCAGTAGCCCTCCATGGGCTCTTGGCACTGGTTCTCCTGTGCGCCTGCCGGACGAACGAGTGCGTGTTTAACCTTCAAACAGCAAGTTCTCAAAAGAGCATTAACAGAAGATATCTGTATACAGGAATATGCTAATTAAAATTAGTTTTATTTATTCATTCACACAAACTCAGCAAGAACTCCATTTGGCTGCTATTAATGTTTGCTGTGATTTACTATAAGTACTGGAAATGTGAAAAATGTGTTTCTTTTAAAAGGAAAGCCACAGTTCTTTTTGGTTTTCCCTCATCCCTCCCCTAGTTTGTCTGAATTGGTAATTAGTAAGGCTTTACTTTAGCGCAGGGCTTTTCCTGAGGTTTGCAGGCTGGCTGCATGGTCATTTAATTACTTCTGAACCTACTGAAGGCAAATACCAAGCAATCTATGGGGACAGATTGTGGAGTTCCAGGTTATTTATGAAGTAAGCCTCACGCAGTCTTCATGGAGGCGATAGGACCCTTCCCCACCCCCACAACCATGGGCGTCAGCCCTGGGAGGGAGGTCTGGTTAGAAAAAGTCGGCTCTTGGAGTCAGCCACCAGAAGGATGGGACGGCAGAGCCCTCGCGAAAGGGCTAGTGGAGCCGGAGGGCTGCTTAGCTCCTGCCAGGGCCCCAGACTTCCTCCCAGAGGCACACAATTCATAAGCACGGAATCACTTTCTCGTCTTTCCAGGAAGGCTTGTAGGGGGGAGTGTAGGTCTGGGCTGACAGTTTGCATCTCAGCTCTGCCCCTTTCCAGGTGGGATCACTGCAGGGTTTCCCGTGCCTCAGTTTCCTCACCCGTAAAGTGAGGATGAGAAGGCATCTCCACTTCCGAGGGTTGCTGGGAGGAGTGCACGGGTTAACCCAGGTGATGTACTCAGCACTGTGCCTGGCACAGACAGGCGCTCAGGGGCAAAAGGAGCCCTTCTGGGAACTTTTTCCTGCGGCCTGACTGGTCCAGAGCCAGACAGTGATCTCAGTGCTGCCTCCTGTGCCTTGGCCATTTCTGTACCTGGTCCCACCTGCGTGGGGGCTGCTGTGATTTAACTAATGGAAAATCATTTTGTAAAGTGCTACCGGAATGTGCAGGGTGTTATTTCTGGCCCAAAGACTAATCATTTGGTGGGGGGCAGTGGGTTGAAACTAAGGGGAGACGGTTCCAACTTATCACACTTGAAGTCAGAGAGAAACGGAATCTCCCCAAATAGGAAATCAAATGCACACCACTGGCATTATTGTGCTAATGTTTGCATTTAGGGATTCTTAGCCTGCGAGGTCTCGGGCCTTTTCTACTCATTTACATCCAGGTCACATTAATTGGATTCTGGCTCCCCAAACTCAGTTGCCTTTTGTAGCGTGGCCCCTCACCCCCACCCTGCCCAGTGCATCAGTTAGAATGCTTCGGGATATAAGTAACAGAAAAAATAAGTAATAGTGATCTGAGCAATGAAAACGTGCCTCGTCTCCTATCACAAGGGCACATGCCCCAGGGTTGGTCTGTGTGCTGGGTCACTGATGCCACCAAGCCTCAGCCTTTTCCTCGTGCCCGCCATCCTCCGCACAGTTACTGGCTTAGCTTCTCCAAGCTTCATGGCTGCAAGATGAGTTCTGCAGCTCCTTCCCCGTCCCTCACTTTCTCTTTTGACCATGGAGGAAAATACTGCCTAAATGCCCTTCTCCCCCAACAGATTCCCTTTTAAGTCTCATCTGACGGGCACATGACAACCTCTACCTGTAATGGGGTCTGGGAAAACAAGTGGCATTTTCCCTGTTAGAGTTCGTGAGGGCCCAGCCAGCCAGGGAGGACAGTAGGTTAGGCAACTGGTCACACGTCTGCCAGACTCGGCTCCTCCTCCATAACTGTCATCCGTGTCCTCTTTTCCCAAAGTCCCTTTCAACTCGTATCAACTGGCCGGTTCTTTTTTCCCCAGGAAGAGGGTCTCTGCCTTCCTAAGTGTGTCCTTTTTGGGGGCTGCTGCCAGGGTGCAACCTGCAGGATCTAGGAGCTGCACGTGAGTGGCACCCTCTGCAGGTGGGTTGTGTTCAACCTTCTCACCCAGCAGCCCCTGGGGCCCTTCATTTCTCACTCGTTTCCTCCTGATCGCCTACCCCACTCTTCACTGTCTTACCCTGTATTTCCTAATTCATTCGCTTTTGTTTGTTCATTCAATAAACATGGGTTACTATAATGCCAGGACTTACAACAGGCATTGAGTGGCAGTGGGATGGAGAATGAGATAAACATGAAAAAAGCAAGTCCTCGCCTTCTGGGAGCTACGTGCCAGGGCTGGAGACCAACACGAGAAGGCGTGTGGACACTGCTGTGTGCAGACCCTCCGGGGGCGCAGGGGCAGGCGTGGCCGACATAGGGAAGATGCCCAGAGGAGGCAACACTGGAGCAGGGTTTTGAAGGCCGAACGGTGTGTTCCGGCAGAGGTGTGTTCCGGCAGAGGGATGCAGTGTTGCAGAGGGAACAGCTCCACGTCGCAGGACGTGGTGGGACACGAGACCAGGACTGCAGGCTGGAGCCGGTGACAGGTTAGAGCCAGGCAAAGACTTGGACATCACCCCGTGGTGTGGGCAGAGCCACGTGGGGAGGGGCGGTAGCAGAGAGAGTCAAACAGTGGCCAGGAGCACCAGCTTCCCAGCGAGGCAGACGTGGATGCGAACCCCGACTCTGCCGCGTACCCACTGTGCGACTCGGGCAGACCACCGTTACCACCCCTCTGACCGTGTTTCCCGGATGATGACGATGATGATGGTAAATGGGGGAATCGCCCCTGTCCACTGGGGTCGTCGTGAGGACTACAGAAGGCAGTGTGGTGCAGGTGTTTCACACAGACCCTGGCACACAGTAGGTGCTCAGCGCACAGTGACTTATTCCCGTTCTACTGGTTTGTTGTGCCGTGAGGCGCATGCGCCTGAGAAGGCAGCACATGACTCAAGGCAAAGTGGGAGGCGGCATCAACAACAGTCAGACGTGTCACTGGCGGCAGGGGAGACGCGCAGTCAGGACCCTGGTGGGCACGGGTGCTACCTGTGATGACAGGTAGAGAATCACAAGTGAGCTGGATGGCGAAGAATGAGTAGAAATTAAGTGAGAGAGACTGGGAAGGCAGCAGAGCCAGGAATGCACCCAGCAAGGACGGCTTGTTCGTGGGGTGCTGTGCAGGCTGGTTGGCAGCAGGCCAGGGTCAGTCTCTTGGGGTAAAGAATGGGGAAAACCTCGGGCCGGGGACCTGGGGGTCTTTGATGTGTGGACTTGGCTCTGCCGTAGGTCCCCGTTATTCCCCTATTCTGACACCTCCCCTTCCTCTAAGAAGAGTACAGCATCCCCAGAGGGCGTTGTGGGCGTGCGTAGAACTGCTGGGCCTGGCAGTTGCCTGGCAAACTGTGTTCCTGGTTAAGAGGTGTTTTGCATCCAGTGCTGGTAGCAGTGGGAGGGGGGTATTTGCTTCAGTGGGAGCACCTCCTTCCAGGCCTGACCCCCTAGGATGGGGTCAGGCTGCCCCTCCCATCCCCTCCTCCCACTAACGTGTCGTTGGCCTGGCACTGTGTTACTGCTCCCCCATCCCTGTGGAATGCCCACCAGAAGCAAGAGCGGGCAGTGTCCCTGGCTCCTCCACCTGGCCCCTGTGTGTGAAGCCAGCACCCACAATGGCTGCGCCCTGGTCTCCCATGTCCTGGTGGAGGATGATTAATGGCCTAGCTGCACCGGTGTGTTGTATTTAGGTCTATTCCCAAGCAGATAGATTTTTCTTTCCAGATAAAAGGAACGCAGGCCCTTCCTAGGCCCCGAGTCCCTGCCCACCCCTCCCAGTTGCAGTCGGTTAGGGAGCTCAGAAAGGTAAATGAGTTGATAAGCTGGTGGGGGCAGGATGACTGTACCTTCAGTGGCCCTTGTAAACAGTATAAAGTCACCTTGATGTGCCGGGACTAATGGCGCTGGAGCAAGCCAAATGGAGGCCCGTGGCACTGAGCCAGGGCAGGAGCCAGCGTCCAATGGCATGAAGAGGGGCTGTCAAGGTCTCCCGTCCCTGCGTCCGTGTCTTTTTCCTGGTGACACACACTCAGCTGTGTTTCATACTGAGTGCAAAACCTCCTGGATTTTCAGTTGCTTCCTCTGTAAAAAGGGGATGTTATGGGGTGAATGGTGTCCCCTGAAAATGACACTGATGCCCTAACCCCTAGGACCTAAGGATATGACCTTATTTGAAAATAGGGTCTTTGAAAATGATCGACCTAAGAAGAGGTCACAAGGGTGGGTCTGAATCCAGGGGATTTTGGACACAGGCCAGCACGCGCACAGGAAACGCCAGGTGAGTGTGATGGCAGAGATGGGGGGGTGCTTCTCTGAGCCCAGAGACCCCAGAGTTGCCTAGCAAATCAGCAGAAGTGAGGAGGGAGACCTGGAAATGATCCACCCTCATGCCCTGGGAAGGAGCCGATCCTGCCCACCCCTTGGTCTTGGACGTCTGGCTTCCAGAACCGTGAGGCAATACATGTCGTTGTAAGCCCCCATGGGTGGTAGTTGTTTGGGGAACTAAACGGTTTTCCCCTTGCGTGGGCAGTAGGGTGTCACAAGGAAGCCCAGGTGAAACCACACAGTGGGTGGGTGCCCATAAATAATCATCAGATCTTTAGGCCAGGGGCACCGGGCAAGTCCAGGGGCACCGGGCAAGTCCAGGGGCACCGGGCAAGTCCAGGGGCGCCGGGCAAGTCCAGGGGCGGGCCAAACGGAGGGCCAGTGAACCACCTAAGACCAGGGCTGCGGAATGGTCAGGCTCCTTGTTTCTGTACGACAGACACATGGGTTGAGAGGGCCGATTCCACCCCTGTGAAGTGTCCAGACCAGGCAAGTCCACGGAGACAGAAAGCAGATTCTGATCGCCAGGGCCGGGGAGCAGGAGAAACAGGAAGTAGCTGCTTAATGGGTGCAGTTTCTCCTCTGGGGGTGGCGGGAATGTTCTGGAACCGAATCGTGGGGATGGTTGTACAACATTGGGAGTGTTTAAATGCTGCTGAATCATACACTGTAAAATGGTTAAAATGGTGAATTTGTTGGTATGTGTATTTTACAATAAAAAGAAACAGTTTGTATTGCATGCTAAAAAAAAAAAGTACAGAAAACTCGAGAAGTCCCAGAGTTGGAATCACCTTTGAAGGAGGAGGCAGAGCTCATAATCCAGGGAATACTGGGTTAAATAACTGTGCTCGCAGCGACACCTTCCCCACTTTTTTAAAAGCCCTGTTCTAGGAAGCTGCTGAAGGGTAGGCTCAAGGTGCGCACTCACATCTTCCGGAACAGTCAGAATACTCAGGGCAGGCAGAGCGTCTCTGGGGGGCGTGGAGGGAGGGGTGAGCATGTTGTGAACCTGACTGTTTGGGTGGCCGGGGGAGAGATCCAGGGTCCCCTAGGCCTTCCTGTCCTTCCCCACCTGCCCCTAAATCCCCACATACTAAATCCCCCAAAGTCTCCACTCAGTGTTCTCTTCCTGACCTTTGACCTCTGGCCAAGCTCTGCAGGCCAGAGCACTTCTAAGAGTCAAAGGCTTGCCCTGCCAGGACTACCTGTAGCTTTTGGGTAGGAACCAAAACAAGCCCAAGTAAGATGGCTAAGATAGGCAGGGGCCACCTCCAGAATGGGCGCAGGTTGCGTGCCTGCGGGCTGGCCATACCCCCTGGAGCACCTAGGGGGCTCGTCTCGGGTGCCAGGTGCTCTTCTAAGCGTCTCCTCGCGTTGACTCGTTTTGTCATCATGAGTCTTCGGAGGTGGATGCTGATTAGAAGCCCCAGGTTGCAGAGGGGGAAACTGAAGCACAGAGAGGTTAAGGGCTCGCGGCCGTTTCCCCGGCACCAGGTGGAAGAGGCGAGATTCCCACCCAGGGAGTCCTAATCCGACATCAGTGCTGTAACTGTAAGAGTGGGTGTCTGTCGGTGCCCCTGCTGGAGGGCTTCAAGGTGAGAAAGTGAAGCTGTGAAGAGCCTCCTAAATGCGAAGGGCTGTAGACCCCAAGGCTTGGTTCAGCTGGGAGAGTTGAGACGGAAAATGTGAGTGATTTCGAGGTCCGCTGGAGGTAAAAAGGCTAAATCATGGTCCCACAGGGCTTTCTAAGGAGGGTGCCTTCCAGGGGGAGAGGTGCGGTTCCACCCATTCACCCAGCGGTCTTCCTGCAGATAAGACACGGTGCTGGCAGAGGCTGGAGTGGCCCTAGGAAGGGCTGCAGCCACGGAGGTGTCTGCTTTCTGGCAGAAACCAGGGAGGGATCAGGGAGAATCCCAGTGGACACAGCTGGAGAATTTTATAAGAAAGCAAATAATGAACAGAAGTCCTTGGTTTGCATCAGAAAATTTTCCCCTGAGAAGGAGCCTAGTGGTGAACAGTGAACCTGTGCAGAAGGGTTACGGACTCGGTTACCAGCATGGGAAATCCAGAGCCCTCTCGCAGGGCTGTCCACCTTCCTAGCAACTAAGCTCACCGAACACCCTGTGTGCGCTCAGGCCGAGTAGGGGGCAGGGCTCCGTGGCCACAGTGGCTCTCAGATGAAACTGTGGGTAAGTGATGGGTCAGCTGAAATCCGCCTGAAGCCCCACTCCCGATTCTCTGCCTTTCTGTGGGCCACCCTCAGGATACACACATTTCTAGAGAGACTATGACTCTAGAAAGGAACGACTCACAGGGTGCACACCTTAGGCATTACTCATTCACTCCACATTCAGGGAAGCCTTACCATGTGTCAAGTGTCACGGTGGCACTGGGGATGCGATGGTGAATAGGACAAATCCAGGGTCTTTCCTGTCCTGGAGGCTGTAGTCCAGCCTCTACTCTTTGTGGAAATGTTCACCGGTCTACATACTAACTTACAAAATGAAGTTAGTGTACTAAAAGTACATTGACTTCCATGGCCTGGGTGCCGCCCATTCTCCTAGTTTCTATTCACCTGGAGAGTGAAGAATTAGATCTGACATGAAGAAGAAACTCAGCTTTGGGGGCTGGTCCCATGGCCCCTCCAGAAGGCGGAACATCACCGGAAATCCCACCTAAATCTGTGTGCACATGTACCCAGATCATCACGGCAGGTGGCCCTTGTGCGATCCAAGCAAATGGGTCTCTGGGTGACAGGACGGGAGGCCCAGGGTGATCAGGAACTCGCCTGGTTAGTTGTGGGCCAGCCCACACTTCCGCTGTTTCTCCACAACTCTTCCATCTTCTGGAAACTTTGCACCAGGGCTCAGTGTTCAGAGTTGGGCCGGCCCACCCAGGGAAGCTGCCCCACCTTTGCAGATACTGGAGCAGGCAGTGTTTCTTAGAGACTCTTCAGCATCCCAAAGACCTGGGCTCCTTTCCCCAAGAAGACACTTTTCCCGGCACTTTAGTCTCTTAGGAAATTGTTCTGGAAAAAGCAGAGATACCAATGCCCCAAAGATCTTCAATCTTGGGCAGTTCTTCTGTCACGAATGTCATCCCCTAGCCTGTTGGAGACCCTCCACATGTTGCAATGGGGCCCACTGGACCCTGCTTCACAGGCACAGGTGACTTCTGAGTCCACCCCAACCCCTAGCCCTCCAGGAGCCTTCTGCAGGTCCCCCGAGAAGCCTGTCTGGCCCCCACGCTGGGAGGGCTCTGCCTGCTCCCTCCCCTGCTCCTGACCTGGCAGGAGGAATGGAAACTTTCGTGGAAAGCACTTGTGCTGACGAAAGCTCCCAAGTCAGGGCTTTGACTCCAGTCCGACAGCCATGGGCTCAGGATCTGGGGGCCACTCCTTGGCAGGGTCGGGACCTCCCGCCTCGCCTCCTCCCCTTGCCTGCTCTGCCCACCTGCAGTCCTCAGCTCTCCGGTGGCCCCAAGGGACTGGTCCCCCACTAGAGAAGTAACTGTCCTCCACTCTTTCCCTCCCTGGTGTCGTCCCCTCCCAAGGTCCTCCTCCCTTTGATGGTGTGTTTTGCTGACCCTTCCCAGCGCCCATCAGTGGCTTTGTCATCTGCATGGAGCTCGGTGGAGTTGAGAGTCTAGAGCTTTTCGCTGTTTTGTTTAAGACCTGGTTATGGTTGTGGGAATTTTTTTCTTTCTTTTTTTTTTTTTTTTGTCAGCTGCCTGTTATATCAATCACGGAGTCGGGATCTATTTATAGGTTGGGAGTACTGTGTCCTTAGTCACAAAGAGACACAGACAGGGGACTGTCAGCTGGTGCCGGAGGAGCTGAGCAGCAAGTCATCAGCAACTGGAGACACCTGAGGGGCGGACGGTGCACCCAGCCCAATCCTCACCCGGCCCCGAGCATGTGAGTACCACGGCTTTCCCCTTCTCTGCCCAGAATCCGCCCTGTACCTTCCTGTCCTTTTTCCTACACACCCCCCTCCTCTCTTTTGCGTGCTCTCTCTCTCTCTGTTTAAAATGGATAAAAATATCTCCCCGTGCCTGCTCTTTCATCCCGGGTTCCGACACTGTAAAGCATCTCTGGGTGGCCAAGAGGGAAATGTTGCCTTTTGCAGGCTGTCGTGGGAAGGTCAGAGGGACGGGGAATGGCTGGTGGGACAGTTTCATGAACTCATTTGGAATCAGTGGGTTCCCTTTTATTTTGTTTGTTTTCGCTGAGAAAAAGTAAGTAAATCAAAAGGGCAAGGGAAAGTTTACATGCCGCTCAGCGGGGTGGGCATGTCTCCCAGCGTGAAAACTTTTATTTGCTGGCAGCTCAGGCGCTGGGTGAGCTGGGAAGGTTACAGAGGGACACTCGGTGCACGCAGGACAGGTGATGATGGAGGGCTGCCGGCACATCCGGGCGCAGCCTGGGAGCTTCCAGGTTCGGGCGGGGGGGGGGGGTTCATGACAGTCCCCGCGGCCAGCTTTTCTCTAGTGCCTCAGAGGAAAATGACTTTTTTTCTTCCCACGGAGTGAGTTTGCTTTGACAAGTCCAGATGAGACTGAGGATTTCTTACCTTACAGGCTTCCGTTGGCTCACTCATCTGGTGTATTTTCTTCACCCTGAGAGAGGGCCTTGGGAGGGGGCTGGGCAGGGGCTGGGGGTAGGAAGAGGCTCTGAAAGGGCGAAGCCAGGTGCCGGAGCATTGCTGATGCATCTCTGCATCCTTCCTGAAGGGAGAAACTTAATATCGCGATTCTTGTCACAGCCTCGCTGGTTTCAGAGGGTCAGAGTGCAGGCTCCTGTGAGCACAGTGGTGGTGTTACCGAACAACAGGAGGAGGTCCAAGGGAGGGGCAATACAATATTCGGCCCACCTAGGGATGCCCAAAACTGCTATACAACAGGGGCCCCTCCCGAAAACCAAAATACTAAAATCTACTGGGCCCTTCTGTCCGCCGCCAATTGGAAACACATCTCTTAAAGCCAGAGATTTGTGAAAAGGAAACAAAATGTTTATTTAATGCTATTCAGGCCTAATGCCACCACTAAAATATCAAAGTCCTTTAGGTTGTACACCTACACCCACACAGCGCTCCCTTCTCCCTCTGTCCCAACTCCGGGTACCGTAAATCAGGAAAAGAGCACACGTCTGTGTTGCAGGCCGCTGGCACCGTCAGCTGTGTCACCGTGCAGGATCTCGAGTTAATCCAAAGTACTGTGGTACCCTCTCATAGTCCACTGGCAAGAGTCCTTTGTACCCCGTTCCAGTCAAAGTCTCTGTTGCTTTTCAGGCCCCGCGGCCAAAGGGGCACCCCAAAGCCGCGTGGGCCTCTTCTACCAAAGCTGCAGGAGTCCGCACTCCACCAAAAGCATGTGGCTGTCTTCTTCACCTGGCTGCAGGGATCTCCATTCTGGCCAAACTGCGTGGTTCTTCCCTTTCACCTGGGAAAGAGGGGTTCCACACTCTGCCAAAACCACGTGGCTCCCTCTTTCACCTCACCGAGAGGGGGTCCTCACTCTGCTGAAACCGCGTGGCTCTCTCTCTCAGGCTTTCTCACTCAGGAGCGCAGCCCCTCGTTACATCCTGAGTCCAAACCCTTCTCACTCCGGAGAGCAGCCCTTAGTTCCCATCCTGAGTCCTCCTAGTTCCATCCTCAGACCCTGCTAGTTCCATCTTGAGTCCCTGCCACAACCTTCTCTCTGGCCCCCCTACTCCCTTCTGCCTGGCTCCAAACTTGGCCACTGCTATTTAACATATCTATGAAACCAGTTAAAGGTTATAGATATGTTAAATAACTATTCCTCCGGAGGTTAGCTCCAAAACTGTTGCTATGCAAAATAGCTCTCAATGGCCTGGCTCCATTCTTTCCCTTCCCCCTGGGGGGGGGCGGTGAGGACATCTTATATGTCTCTCCAATATTTCTATACACTTTGAATTCTGGACACTTTTCTAAATCTTTTTGGGGGGCCCCCCTGTCTGCACCCTGTATCAGTGGCTCCCAGAGATGGCTGTCCCCAGGCACTGTCTGGTGGCCCACACACCTCACACACCACAGGCCTCCTGTGGGACATTTGGGATTTTAGTTTCTGGAGAATGCATAGTATTTTAACAGCCCTGTACTGGAGGAGGTTTGCTGTGTTATGTACGAAGGAACGATAGCCCCGAATTTTGAATAAGAAAATGTGATGATCGATGCCTAACATGTATTATAGACAACTTTTAAAATGCACCTCATTCTTTTTACAAGTCTAATAATGTCTGGGTTTCTGTTCACCAACGCGGTGCCTGCCATGTACTATAGTGCTAGGGACTATGTCTTGATGTGTTTTGGAAAAGAATATCCTAACACAGAAGTATTTTCAATAATTTAAAAGCATTGAACAAAACAGGTATGTCTGGATTGTTTTTGATTAAAGACAAAATAGTTTAGCAGCAAATCTAGCTTGGTGAAAGTTGAATAATGGGGACCCACAGTGTAGAGGCAATTGGGTCTTGTTTTAATTCTGACCTTTGTGAATGTCCACGTTCCTTCCCTTGGCTCTTTATGGTCACTGGTATTTTATTTCAGGCTATTGTTGTCTTGACCCCATTCATTTATTATTTTGGAGGGGAGAATGGGTATCAGGAGGGGGTAAGAAATTGGAAGGTAAACTTGGCACGTTCAGGTAGGAAGTCCTCATTCATTGGTGGGGAAGTTCAGAATAAGCGTGTTGGAAAATGGAGGGGGAGGGGGAGGTCACTATTTAAAACCTAGTATGGTAAATAACATCCGGGAAATGACGGAGAAGATAAGCAGGAGTTGAGCCTGCCACCCATGTAGCATTCTCAGTTCTCTTTCCCAAGGACTCTGTTTTGCTAAACACACCCTGCGAAGGTTCCCCATAATAATGCTGAAGTGGGATTTGGTGGGTTATTGTTAATTAAAGCTCAAGTGAATCGAGTGATTGAGACATTGCATTCAGAAATCACAGCAGTCAGCTGTTTGCAAAATTAAACTATCCTAGGACTTTCAGATCTCAGTGGCTTTTTAGAGAAGGTGTGGCATTTTTTAACCTTTTAACCTGAGAGCGAACCATTCCCCTTGCCCTCCCCCAGAGTGTACCCTGGAGCCTGCTGGCCTACGGTGAAGTGCGGCGGGAGAGGCTCCTTTCCGAGCCAGTTCTGTGTTCTCATTAGTGTTAGCAGTTGAGAGAGAAGAATATTCGTTGGAACATTTAGGCAAGGACTGCCTCTTCCTTTGGATGCTTTTTGGTGGGATGGGGCTTGTTTGGCAGTGTGATGGAGGGCCTGGCTTTCCTCCTGGAATCCGGGATGTGGTTTTTTTCCCCCCTTTGGGCTTTAGTAATAGAGAGGCAATTGGGGAAACTTCAAGACATTTGCATAAGGCAGCCTCTGATTACTTAGTTTCTGCTTCAGTAACGATTAATTTTATGTGGACTGAGTTCCCATCAAACTCATCTTTTTTCCCAACTGATTTTTTAAAGGCAATTGGTCATGGGGCTGCCTGTAACTTCATGTCCGCAAAATCTAACCCATTCCATCCTTGTGGTTGTTTATTTCTCTGAATGTAAATGCACGGTTGTTTTATGCATCCCTCCCTCCAACCCCAGCCCCAGCCTCCTCCCAAACCGGGGACAGTGGGCGCCAATGAACAGGTGCTCTGGAATATGGCAGGCTCAGGTGCAGGGCCATCAATCTCGAGGAAGAAGGAGTCGCAAATACATGGAAAGTGCTCCTCTAATTCAAACAATTTGGCATAGCTGGGGTCTCTCCAAACACCCCATAAATAAAAGATGGCAGCTGGCAGGGGCTTTAAACCAAAGACCAGGCACGGCTCTCTCTCTCTCCACCACTTGGTTGGGCCCTGTATCTGTCCATCTTTTTCTTATCTCTATTTTTACATTTCATTATCCTCCTGCTCTCTCTCCCCACCTTTCCTCCCCCTTCTAGCCTTTCCTGGAAAAAAAAAAAAAACAACACATTTCTATCTGGCACAGAAAATAAACTCAGATTGTGGGTAGTTATGTTAATCTAATTCAATCCTCAGCGGGTTAAGAGTGAAATTCTAATAGTGGAGCTGTTGAGGGCTTTTTTGTTAATGGCTTGGGGATTACATTGAGTTAAAGGCTCATTTCCTAATCAAACAGAGAGGGAGAGAGTGACTCCGAATATTTATGAGTCTCCCAGTGAGAGTTTAAACATTCAACTCCAAAAGCAGGGTTTCTACAGGAGGAAAGAGTTAAAACCCCTCAGGGCTGCTGGGGAAAAAAAATTAAACCAGTTAAGCCATCAGCATTTTCAGGCTGCCGTACAACTTCAGCAAAGTGGAAGGTGGGGCTGGAGGGGAGCCGGTTCACAGAGTGAAAATGGAAACTGTGGGCTGAGGCTCTGAAGCCGGAGTCAGCTGATGTGCTCAGAAAAAAGTCCCCCGCAGCAGTCTGGGGTCCTCGGTTCACCAAGGGCCTGGAGGGGCTGTGTGCCTGTAACTCCCCAGATGAATTCTCCTCCTCCAGTCTGGAGGTGAGAACGTGGAGACAGGAGTATGGCTCAATTTACCAGCAGCTGGAGAGTTCCCCTGCCGCCTGGTGGAACTGGGGGTTGGTGGGGGTGGGTGGGATCACTTGGTCCTGCCTATGAAATGCAGAGGGCGGCTTCCCCTTGAAGAGCATATTTGCAAGCCCCTCTCTGCCCCTTCGCTCTGTGACTGTCCAGTCCCTCGGCCCCCTGCTCTCTGTCTGCTTGGGGCTCTGTGCATACGAGGACCTCCAAGCCCACCTGGTTCACTGTGCCCAGGAGAAAACAGGTCGAGGACTCCCTGATCTCCCACCAGAGAAGGCGAGGAGTGACTGGGCCACCAAGGTCAAGCAAAGTCAAGGCAAAGTGAGGTCAGGAGTCTGAGCTCTCTACCTGCACTCTGG